GTGGGGCATGTTAACGTTCGGTTGCACTTGCTGCATGAAGTTGATGCATGAAGTTGATGCTCTTAAGTTTTGCATTCAGCGTTTAATACCCGCAGCGTGCCGCAGTACGTGTACATGTGGGCTTGGCGCCAAAGCTTGACCTATGCCACACCGGCTCAGTTTTTTCCGACGGCCCAATGAGTTACGTGGTTTCGAAAATGCTTCGAAATCAGCATTTCGCCTAAGCAAATCTGCTTGGAATTGACCATGATTCCACTGATGAAGCGTTGGGCACAATCATTCCTAATGGATTACGCACATTTCGACATGATTAACCCACGACCATCATTGATTTACACCGCGGCCGTCTATCAGCCGTGTACCTAGTTTCACAGCCCCTGTTGTACTATTCATAGGTTTGCGTATAGTTTATCCCCCAAAGACCTGGTCTTCCCGATAAGGTTCCGACGGGCGTCTTGGTATATAGGACACATTAAGGGTCCAACTCTCGATCTCTTGAATTGTGTCCATGGGGAATGATATTGATGTGCGTATACTTTGTATGGAACATCACATGTGTATGTCCTATGCTCCAGCCAGCAGATTGAGTTCATCCCTGTTACTTATCCATCAGCTCTGTGAGGTGCTCGGAACCTACTTCGATCGAAGGTCTTCAATAGTGACAACTTTTTGCGGCAAAGGGCGAAGCAGGCGCGAGCTTCTGATTTGGGTTGAAATAGTGGACAGCCTATATACTGTACATGGACTCTCTCTCTCTCTATATATATATATGCATATGTAAACAGATTCAAGCCGTAGCCATTTTGGCTCAAGATCTCGGCTCGAGACCACGGGCGTCCATACTGGTGGGCACCACACGTCTTCATCGAGCAGGCTGCCGAGATCAAGAAGGGTAACTGCACCTACATCCTGCAGTTTGCCACAAGGTCCCGATGCGGCGGCGCTATGAAGTATGCAGGGGCTGCAATGCCAGTTGGATCTGGCAAGATTGACTGCTGAAGCACAGCGGCCTCAAATGCAAGCATTGCGGCGCACCCTGGCAATGTCAGGGCCTTCCAGACCTCAAGGCCAGACGCCGGCAAACCCAATGGGCAACATGGAACTTCTCACACCAAGGACACCAATGGCCGCGCCGCACCTACCAGGAGGCACTTCTAGAACCGCCACCTTGTTTGTTTGGAGGCCAGCGGGTCAAGAAGAACAAGAAGCAAAAGCCCAATGCCTTGCAGAAGGCTGTGCAGGAACACCGGGACACCTTGCCGCAGGCACTGAAGACCCAATGTGAGGCCTTAGGTATGCAAGCTAGCGCACCACCACCTCCAGATCTACCGACCCTGATCAAGGAGCATTTGCAAAGTCTCCCAAGTGACTTGAAGGAGGCTGTAGAGAAGTTGGTGGAACCCTCCAAGCCAGAACCTACCCTGGCCACTAAGCTGAAGCAGTCTAATGGACAGTTGAGGCAATTGGTGGAGAAGAAATCAGCGATTCAGCAGAAGGCGGACACGGTGAAGTCCCAGTACACCGCGCTCTTGCAAGAGTTGAAAGACATGCAATCCAAGATCGACACGGCCCAACAGGAGCTGCAGCAGACCTCTTCTCAATACAACCAACAGTTGGAGAAAGAGAAGCAAGATGCTGCTGACGAAGAAGAAGCTTGGGCCTTAGCACCAGAGAAGCTTATGACCATCTTGGCCAAAGTCGGCCTACAGGCCACTGCTGAGCAGGTCACGGATTTTGCTCGACAGATCGAAGAGACGGCGGCCAAAAGAAGGAAGTGCGGGTAACGCCCACTTTGAGACACAGCAGGCAACTACAGGGGTAGCAGCATATGGAGCACCGGCTTGTCATCTAGGGGACAATGATGATAGCATGGTGATGGGATCATATGCACCTTTTGGCTCAGGCCTTCATGAACTAGAGAAGGGCTCTGGTTACACCACCTTTTGGGGCGATTTGTGGGGCGCCAGCAGATGAAGCTCCGGTGGCAGTGACGGCGCAGCAGCCGTCCTTTCCTACCTTTTGTGGTGGTGCAAACACCATGGACAACTCCGAGGTGATGCATTCATCAGATGAAGATGCACAGATGGCAGACCAGGCTGATGAACTGGTTAGCCACTCAGCTCAAAAACCTTGGACTATGTCATCCAAAATCTACAGTGTCGCACTGGCAATCCCAGGAACCAGTGCTATGCTAACGCACCTTTCGGTGGGCAGGTAGTTTCCTGGGTGGTCCCCGCCTATGGAATCACACAAGTCAGGCCGTTGAAGCGGCCCTCCAAGATGATGGAGTGGTCAATATCACATCACTCAAAACACTCAACAAGTTGTGGCAACAATTTGATGACGCCGTGCAAGATGATGCATCTCACTTTTTGCTAGCCGTGGTTCACCATCGAGCAGCTCAGGTTGAAAGCGCCTGGATTGGATGGGATAGGCTTTGACTTCTTGAAGGCCTTGCCATTTCAGGCCATGAATGACCTCATCCATCCACATCTTCCACCAGATTGAGGCCCAGGCGGTCATCCCCCAGCAGCGGACAACTTTACTGATTGCATTGCTGCCCAAATCAGTCGAAATTGAGAGACCAATTGCACTGGTGGCCACCATGTACCGACTGTGGTGCCGATTGAGAGGATCCTATACTCGACAATGGCAGCAGGACATCCATTATGAGTACATTTGGGAGCGAGCCGTTCCGGGCACAGAATGCCTACAGGTGGCATTGAAGAGAGCCTTCATGACGGAACATCATGGCACCATGAAGAAGACTGTCATCTCTGTGCTCCTTGATCTGTCAAACTTCCATGACAGGATCAGCTTGGACAAACTTTGCACCAGGTAACCTTAATTCCCCAGCCACGCATGCTGCACTTGCCATGCAAATTTACCTTAGAGGCATCTGAAGTACTCTGGACCACCAATGGGATCCTTGCTGGAGATCCACAAGCGCCTCGATGACCTCAGCTTCGATGTTGTGGATAGGGACCCGGCCAATGCTGTCCGTGCCATAGCAGCCTACGAGTACATCAGAACACTCCTTGAGCAGGACAACCTCAAGATCTCCGAGAAGAAGACTGGCTTCTTGGCATCCAACAGTGCTGCGCGGCGTCTTTTACAAGAACGCGTCCCTCCAACAGGCCCACAAGTTCACGATGTCATGGGGGACTTGGGTGTGGACCGCGCGGCCGGACGCTTAAGGCGCATTCAAACGATGCGCAGCCGGCGTGGTAAAGCAGCCCGCAAGTCCAAGAAGTTGGGTCATTTGAAGATCCCACAGCGCAGCGTACGCTTGAAAAGGGAGCATCCTTGCAGGCATCAGCTGAAGAGACAGTCATGGGCAGGCATAGGTTTGCAAAAAGACTGGCAACATTGACATTGTCTTCGACATGAATGCCGCACACCAGGCCCGGACTATGGCTCGTTCATGTCCCAAGTCAGAGCGTACCGCAGGTTCTTTGGCAACTGGCCTGAAGCCACACACCGCAACCTTGAGCGTGCGTGGCAAACCATTCATGATCGACTACAACAGGCTCAACACCCGTGGCAGGTAGCCAAAGGACTTTGCAATGCTACCTGCGACAACACCAATGGGATTGCAGCCACTATGGAGAACGGACTAAACCTGGGCACAACGCCAACAGGGACTTCATGCTCAGCATGAATGACGACTGGTTCACTCTGAGAGAAGAACTCAAAAGAGCTGAACGCTGGGAACGCATTGAACGCGTCAACAAGCGCTCCATGCTCACTGAGGTGCAGAACACCATGGATTGGAAACCATGGCAGCGACTGACCCCCACTCTCAACTGCCGGGACAGTGTAGCCCTCCTCGCATGGCATCAAGGAGCACCTTTCACCAAAATGGGAGACCATGAGGAGCATAGGTGCATTCAAACCACTTTGATGCACCTACTCTGGCTGTGCAAGCACACGCAGCAGCAGTTCCCGGAGATGGAGCCCGAGGACAAGTTTGAGATTGATCATGGCCTAAACCTTGAATTTTGGATTCAAGGCATTCTGCAATTGCCCAAGTACGAGTTGGCCACTGGAGGAGCTGCCCAAGCTTGGGACGATCAAGGTCAGCAACCTCGCGGTGTTCACCATAGGCATTGCAGCAACAAGCAAAGACAGCCGACTCAGGCACTATGTGGTCGCCCTCGTCAAACATGGGTTTGGCGCAGAGCTCTACAGAATGGGCACAGTGGCCACAGTGCTCCCTGGAAAGCAGACCTTGGAGAGAGCATGGTTCTATGGTCCGCGTGGCAGCGCACTACATCGACCTGAGCGCACAGGTGAGGCTGCATGTGCTGTCGACAAAGGCCCGGAAGGCTTGGGTGCAAGGCAAACATGGACACATCTTCCATGACCGCTGGTCACCATTGACCAACGAAGGCAAATCCAGCCACTCAGCCTCACCATGCAGCAGGTTCGACAAATGCCTTCAGGAGTCATGGCCTTGAAGAACCGTTTCCATGACGCCACCAAAGCTGCGACAGAGATTGCACTAGCCTTGAGGCCACATGAACAGGAAGCACTGTTGAAGCTGCAGGACGCAAAGTACCGCCAAGTGGCATTGATGGCAATCAAGCGCATCAAGTACATCATGGACACCAAAGAACATCTCATGCATCAAGAGCGTGAGAAAGGCAAAGTGCTCCGCAACCAAACTCAGGAGCGCAAGAAGCCTTGGGAACGAACCCAGTTGAGGGTCATCATCAATGGATCCCAAAGGGCAGGGCCAAACAGTGCACACAATGCCTGGTTACGGAGGCCGGTTCCCCTGGCAATCCAGTCAGCTTGGTTGGAGGCAACAGCCAGGACATTGCCGGCGCACCTGACACCAAGCAAGAGATCACCACCAAGATCTTGCAAGGTACATTACCTGGCATGGGACAACATAATTTTGCGCATCAGAACTCGTACATTGTGTGCCAGAGGTGCGGCGCTCGCATCCTCAAAAATGCTGCCCGGGAGAAACTCATCAACCTGGCAGAGAGTGTTTGCTGGAATGAAGAATGGAGCATTCCGCAGGGCTGGCAGGGCCACAGCACTCATCGCCTTTGGCGACGAGCCAATGTCGCTGCCTGTCAAAGGAAGAGCCATCCAGCACCATGGCCATTGGCAGCCAAGCAAGGGACTCAAAGCACGGTGTGGCGAGGTCAAGGAGATCCACACACTCCCAGAGTGCTTCAAAGCCAAGCCGGCTGCATGAAACGGCGCAGAAAAGGAGCGATGAAAAAAACAGATTCAAGCAGTGCCAAACTTGCAATTCAGGAAAGCATATAGGGCAACAACATACTTTACACAAGAAAGAGCAAACACTACCCATACAAAGAATCTTGGCTGGGGATGCCCAGTGATGCCCAATCCCATAAGAGGTTTGGGTCCGTTGCTCACATGCAATGTTGGCTGGTTGCCCAAGTGTCACTTGATGTCACCTGATGGGCCGTGTTGTCACTGTGGCATGCCTGAGGTGCCCCAAGGCCAAGCCAAGATCAAGGCGAAGCCAAGGCCACAGCCGCCGCGGCCAGAAAAAAAACCAATGCCCAAGCCGCCACAGGCTCATGTCTGAGAAGCGTCGAGCTGAATGAATGCAACTGTCCACGTTGGATTGATGATTGATTGGCTGTTTGCCAATAGAAGCACTCTTTACAATGTTTGTTAGAAAAGATGAGCCAACCAAGGGCTTCTCAAAGGCATCCCACGGTGCCATTTTGGAAGAACAAACAAAAATCAATACTGCAACGTTTGTTTGCCGCGCCAGACACGCGTGCCAGCGCCCCTCAAGCCGGGTGTTGTCAAAGCATCTCCACCACCAGGCAGGCGAATTTGTTGATACACTGTGCTTCAACCTCCTTATTTATAGCCCGGTGGGTAGGCCGCTACAAGGATTAGGTGGCTATATACTAGCTACAAGTTAGCTTCTAGACATGGACGCAGCATAGCTCAGGCTTCTTCAAGGAAACTCCCTCTGCCTGAGGTCGGGGGTAGCTTCCTTGAAGAAGCGCTCGCACCAATCATTTGGTTCCTACATTTTTCTAATGTGATATTTTTTCGCTCTTAGGTTGGAGGCCATCGGTCAAGATATTTGTTGTTCGCTTGATGGGAGGTGTGAATGGCAGACAGCAGGACGCTACTCTCCAGAAGGTTTGGTGCGACAGCAAGCAAGTGCCAAATCTAACCTCCAGATCCAATGAACCAACCAGTTTGGACTTCCAACGTAGTTTGATTGTTATGCTGTGGCGGAAACTGTCAGCAGTCTAGCTTTCGCCGCCTTTGCTGAAGGACAAGCGCGACGGCCACTGGCGGGTGAGGGTCTTCAGTTGTTCAGCAGTTTGCAGAAGTCATTTTTGTTCAGCATTGTGCTCACTTTGTTGATTAATTTTCCGTGAAGATTATGTTTTGCATGTTCTGTAAGCTGTTTTTGGGAGGCATCAAATGTGTGCTGGTGGTGTCGGAACGGGTCTCTGGTGTCAGGCTCGCTCTTCCGACTGGCGAAACGCCAAGAGGCTGGAAGAGCTGATGGCACAACCCGTCAACCCACTACCTTGCTGTAGATCACTATACTATATATATTGTATATATATATATTCTATAGATAAGTTACTATAAATATGTACATTTTTCTATAGATTTGGAGACCAGATCGAGCTGAAATCATTGAAGCCACTAAACCCCCAAAATATATGATTCTGCCAATAGGTGCCCAGGCAGGTGCTCAAGTGGCAGGCCTAGAGTTCGACAACATACCGGGCTCAAAATGTACTGGGAACTACAATTTCGCTGCATACATTGATCAAACTTATTGTCCACCATTGGTTTCACAAAGGCCTAGCCTTTTGATTCATCCAGCCCTGTGTCCTGGCAAGCGAAAGTTTCTTGCGCTGTCAGGAGTCGTACATACAGCTGGCAGCAGCAGGAGCAGCAAGGGTGGCTGAGCTGAAATGAGAGAGGTCCATTCCAAGACGGGGAAAACTCCTCGCATCGAACCTTTACAAAGCTATTAGGTAGTAGACAAGAAGCTACTAGTAGCTAGAAGCGGGATTTGTACCCGTGCTCCATTTCAGACAATCCAAGTTTGATTATGGATCAGCACAGGGCTCGATTTAGGTAATTTATTCTCAGTACTTTTTGGGAGAACCATGTCACTGCATTCCTGCTACGTCACCAACCTTTTGTCCACCTCTCCTCTCAAATGCAAGATGTATTTGCAAGAATGGCTGTCATCTGCGAACAAGTTCGGAAGAAACACGGAAAGCGCAAAAGCAGCCCCGCAGTGCCCTTCTTTCTACATCCACGAGCAAACGCTGGTCAGAACGTTACACATCAGCATTGGTTAGCGCTCAATATCTTCAACTAGGACCGTGTTTGCTCTAGAATCGGTGTTTGCAAGGGCCTAACATAGGTCTGCTAGCGTCTGGTTGAACATGTTTGACTGTTGGTGATGCAGGCCCTAACATATCCTCACCCAACATAGCCCTAACTACATCCCAAGATAGTCAATCATCATAGCCGCAAGATGGCCCAACATGGCCCCCAACATGGCCCCAACATACCCCGTATCCCCAAAACGATCTAACTTGGCCCCAACCCCAACATAGCGCCAAGATGGACTACTGCGCGCGCGTGAAGAACTACAGTAACTACAGTAGATGATTTGTGATTTTCCACCACAAAAGACGTCCACACACCGCGAAAAAACAGTCTGTTCCTTGTAGTTTATGGTGTATTCTTGCACCCACTTTTCTAGCTCCCAAAGCTTCCAAAAACCAATCTTTCATAATTTACTGTATTCACGTCGCTTCGCGACGGTAACCACCCGCACCGCATGGGAGGGCTCAAAGACTGCAGTCATGCTCCAGGAACGGGTCAAGGTAGGTACTTCCATTGAACATAGCCCCAGAAGTCCCCCCCCCCCCAACGTGGCCGAACATAGCTTCCATATTGCCTAACATAGCGCTAGAATGTGGGAACATAGCACGTTGGGGGGGGGGGGCTTTATTCCAGTCCCTTTTGAGCCCTCGTTGGGCTATGTTTACGACGTTCAAGTCCCTATCTCGCAGACGCGTCCTTTAGATAGGGACTTCTAGGGCTATGTTAGGCAATCTCTTTACTTTTTTCAAGTCCCTTTTGAGCCCTCGTTGGGCCATGTTTTGCGTTCAAGTCCCTATCTCGCAGACACGTCCGTTAGATAGTGACTTCTAGGGCTATGTTAGGCAACATGGAAGCTATGTTGAGCCGCCTGTTCAGCCAAATGTCCGGCCTCAGTCCAATTACACTTTACAGCGCAGATGATTCAAATCATGCAAAGGAAGAAAATTGCATTTCTTGCATCGCCAGGGGCTTCAAAATAGCACCAATTCAGCTTCCAGCATTTTAAGCCGGTTCCAAAAACGTGAAAAAACACAGGATTCTAGAGCGAAAATGTCCCCCCCCGAGCCAAAGCTATTGGCTTGCATATGCTAGCTTACGTATAGCGCGTGCCCTATAAAAACGCCTCGGCACCTTCGGCGCGGGCGGATTTTATGGTGTTTTTGACACGTCTTTCTCGAAAACCATTGTTTCCAACACCTCCAAAAGCATTTTTCCTTTTTACGAAAGCCAGCCTTCGTAGAAGGCGCCACCTAATTGTGTTTGGCGAACGAAGTGAGTAAGTAGGGGGTCTGGGGGGGGGTGGCCCGCAAACATACTACGTAAACTCGAAATTAGGTGGGGGAGAGGGGTCCACGGAAGTAAGGTTTTTGAGGTTGAGTTTCTGTGATTTTTGAGGGGGTGGTGACGCAAGAAATGCAATTTGCATCATTCATCATCTGATTGGTACGGTGTAGCTGGCGCCTTGCCAGGTATAGATACCGAGGGTAGCTGCAAGTCAGCTACCAGGTATAGTACTTCAAGTTCCCTTTCCGTCAACAGCTCGATAACCTTTACACACGCACAGCAATCCACAGCTTTGAAGTCTCATTCGTTCTTTGAACTTATATAGGTGTGGAAGAGGTATAGGAACATAGCATTTATACGGACCCAGGGGCTACAAGTCTATTGCCAGGTATCGCACTTCAATCTTCCTACCCTGGGCCCGTGCCTGGGAACAGAATTGTAGGTACCCTGGGTCCGTATAAATGCTATGGTGCTATACCTCTTACACACCTATATAAGTTCAAAGCACGAATGAGACTTCAAAGCTGTGGATTGCTGTGCGTATGTAAAGGTTATCGAGCGGTTGACGGAAAGGGAACTTGAAGTACTATACCTGGTAACTGAATTGTAGCTACCCTGGGTATCTATACCTGGCAAGGTGCCAGCTGAGTAAGAAGGGGGTTTCGGGGGGGGTGGCCTGAGAAAGCGCACTCGAAAGTAGGTGGTGTGTAGGGGTGCACGGAAGCACGCCGTGCGCGACGCTGCATGCTGCCTTTGGCCAACAACGTGCTCGTGGACAAAAAATGCTGGCTTTCGGTTTGCAGCTTCTCAGGTTGGTGTATTTTACAGGGCTTTGCACTCCTAAGCCACCAAAACCTGCAAGTCAGTGGCCCTCCTACCCCCCCCATACCTTCGGGACATACTTTCAAGCGCTCAAAGCGCTTTCCGTCATCACCAACCAACTTCATGATTGTCCGCATGCGCAGCGTCGATCTTCGAGTCGTCCATGCCCTGAGAGCTGTGAGCAAGAACTCATCCGTTGAAAACTTCAAAGGTCACGTACGTAGCCCTTTGGACTGGTAGACAAACTAGACCAGGCACTGCTCATGGCTTCAAGTTTGGGACGTGGTGAATCCGTTTCTGTCAGAAGGAACCCCTTTTGGTTTGCTGGTTACTTCACTCACTTGTTGTCAAAACGCACAATCGAAAACGGAATTCAGTGTCCGTGGAGTGTATGTAATTTGTTTGACAAAGCAAGGCTCCTCTCGGAAGCGATAATCATGTCCAAGGTAGGATATTGACAGGAAAGGGAACTCTTAGATGGATGCTGGCAGTGGCGTGTCGATGTGTAGTGTAGCATAGCAGTTACTGAGACATGAAAGGGTAAGGACGCAAGCTGAGAGGGTGTATGGAGGAACAGGAATACCTAAAAGGCGGGGGCCTGTGACATATTCAAGTGGCCTTGTTCTTTTGCGGCCAATGCAGGTGGCAAAGAACGCCCAGAATGACCTGGAACGTGTGAATGGGCTGCTGACAAATGCAGCTGAAGCGCAGCTGTGAACATTTGTGTTGACGATTTCTGGCATCTCCACGACGAAAAAGGAAAACAATATGCAACATGTACATACGCAAAAGAAGCCCCGGCTTTACTGACTTAGAATTTATGGATTTCTTGCTTCGCATAGACATTTGATAGTCATTGTTTCTTTCGGTGAGCACCGTTCGGAAGCCCTTATCGTATTTCAGGAATCGTAAGAACACATAGTGCGCACTTGATGAATGTGCTTTGTGGAGCTTCTTGTTCTTGCGCGCTGCAGTAAACTGCACGAGTTGGATGGAGGTGTCGCAAGGAAATTTGCAACATACTGCAGCAAGGGGCTGGAGACCTAGCGCTTCTGGCAACGTTTTCGAAGGTCACAGAAAGTTTGGGAATGATCTGGCTGAAACAGGTTTGTGTTTGGCCAAGTTGGGTGTCTCTGCCAGTGGTTTCAGCCAATGTCGATTCAGGTGCTAGTGAAGGGCAGTTTGGGTGTCGGTGATTCTGCAAGACTCGACATCATAGGCAGGAGACATAGCCGGATTTGCAGTGTCGTCTCAATCAATTGATAGTCGGTCCTTCATTTGCTGGACCTTCTTGGCCCAAACTCCAAAGTGCATCCACCTTGCTTGGCAGGTCTTATGTCTGGGTCTTGAGTGTCTGTTGGTGCTTGACGAAGAGGTGTAGCACTATTGTAAAGGAATTATTGGACCTGCTCTTCCATTGGTGGTTCCTACAGGTTTGACTTTGGCCATGAATCTGACAAACCTCTTGGTTTCAGAACCCATTTGTCCGGATGTTTGGAATTAGTTAGTCACTGTTTTTCCTTGGCCAAGCAGTTCCACTGCCGTTATATTTATGCAATTATATGCATTCATATTATCGCCTGAAACAAATGCGTATCATGACGTGACTGCGCACGCTCCACTTCCAGTGGTTCACTGGAATGAGTGCAGTCATGGTGTGAAAACCGGTCTAGCTTTCAGTTGGCCTTCGTAAGGATGTAGGCCGCCAATCCGTGTCATCGAAGAAGGCAACCTTGAAGGCCCTTTCTTTTCAATTCCATCAGTAACCAGACAACTCCTCATGAAGGTGCTGCCGTCATTGATAAAACACTTCATTGAAGCTCATTCCCCAAACGTCTCTCCCCTTTCCAAAGCGAAAGAGGCGGCAGAGAACTCCATATGGGTATAGCGCCCAAAAAGGCTAGGGCAAAGTCACCCTTTAGCCCATCAAGCTGGCATCTTGTTGCTGGATTCCTGCCTCTTTGACAGGATGGTCGCATTCGTTGAAGTGCACCATAGGAACGTCGCAGTTCCATGCGTCCATTCATCAACATGGATGATGGGAAGGCTCATCAGCTTCTTCCTCGGCGTGCAGCGAGTCTTCCGCAGGTAGACCACATCGCCAGGAATCTCGCCCTGCTTGGATGGGTTTCTGCTTCACCATTTCGAAGAGTTCGCGAGACAGGATCCACTGGCGCTCCATAGCCCAGAACCTGCAGAAGCACCACCTAACAAAGCTTCGTACGGGATCGTGGGCAAGTCCATAGGAGCCCAAGCGCGTGCTTCAAGTACTCCACCGGCCCTGGAGAAACTGTAGCCGCCTTCCCAGTGTGGATCCGAAGTCTCAAACCTCTCGACCTTTGTGGAACCATCAAAGCCGCGAGCCACGTGAAACCTATACTTCACCTTGCCCCTCAGTAGAAAGCCTTGATGGATTCTGTTTTGATCTCCTTGGTCGATCCTGTTTTGAATCCTTTCCTGAAGAAGAACGTCGTGACGGGTTTCTTTTTCTCTGGTTTCAAGAACTCTTTCTTGAAGTCCATCCATTCTTCCAGAGTCGGGGTCGGTCCAGGATCGTAGCCATAGCGTCTAGGGCCGGCGTGATGGGATTCTTGGACTCTTGTGACGGTTGGTTGGTAGGGCAAGAGGTTCACTTTAAGACACACTGTTCAGTCACTGTTCATGTTACATTGATATTTTTATTTCTCTTGCCATTTTGGCGAGATAGCCGCTCGAGCCAGGCCAAGAAATTTGTTTCTGAGGTTTTCTCGTTCTGAGGGCCTGGGCCATGGCATCGAGTGGCAGTTCGACCGACCAAGGGAAAGCAAAAGGGCCACCGCCTAAGGGACCCCCTGCTCGGAAAGCGCCTCCAGCTGCCCTACTTCGACAAATGGGACATGCGACCAATCGGATTGATGATGCTTCATCAACATGTTCATGGACATCATGGACGAAGGTTGATGATGACTCAGCCCAGCCTCCATACCTCCCTCGAGTGAATGAAGAAGGGCTGGGTGAGCAGGGGGATACTCGTAGTGGTTTTGGGCCATCGCCGCCACCTGGTTGGTCAACACAGCCGGTCTACTCCTTTCCGCCTCCACCTCCGGCCAAAGCAAGTTCTGCTGCAGCGAACGCTTCGGTCTTGCAAGCAGCGCAAGGGCTTCTCGACCACTCCAACAAGAACCCGACTTCGAGGAGACTTCGGAGACAGGAGCAGGCAGCTCGCCGGGGAAGAGGGGAGTGCGTTGGGGCCAACTGGCCCCTGGGCGCCTTGCTCACAACCCGCTCAATACCGCCCTTCCTGATCACCTTTCTCAGATCGGGGCAGGCGAAGGTGAGAGATCCATCCTCGTGCTGGACGATCGTGACCGAAGGGTGCAGAGCCCTTTTCAGGGCTGGCTTCTCGACGAGGTGCTCACCAATGCGCTGGCAGGGACCAATGTCCGCTCGGACAGGCATGCAGTTCGCTCGCCATCTACAGGCTACCACCTGAACCTGTTCATGGTGCGAACCCTCGACTCGGTCAAGGTGACTGTGTGTGGGTCGATGACCTGTTATGGACAGGCTCCTTGTGCCAAGTGGGATTCTCTCACAGGCGAGGTCGTGAGCCATTCGGCGTTTCAGCCATTCAGGTGGCCGCCTATGACTGAGCAGTCGCCAACCTGGGTCGATGTGAAAGTGAAGTTGGAAGGCCACCTCCTTCTTCACATGGAATTTCGTGGGCGCCGTTCGGACCACGACTTGTCGCTCCTGAGCGAAAGCGCCCAGTTGGGCAGGCTCTTCGGTGGAAAGACCATCGACAAGCCCTCTCGGCTCTCAAGGCGGACCAGCTCAAACGAGGCGCTCGCAAGCCCCTCCTCCACCTCGAGACTGAACTAGGAGTGGCCATTGAATGGGCCCTCTCCATCCCACACCCACTGTGTATTGAGGTCGACCTTGATCAAGGCTTGCGCACGTGTGTGAGCAACTTGGCAGCAGATCTCCCAGCGGTCGATCACGTCGTTCACCAGCGCTTGTGTGACCTGCAGTTTTGGGAAGCCCGGTGCGCTCGCACTACTGCCGTCCACCTCGACATTGCTGGCCGCTGTTCAAGATGGGCCGCTTCGGCGTCTTCTTCGTGGTGCAGTGGTGCAGATGATGATCATCCCTGCCAGCTGGGTACTTGTTGTCACGTCGCACTTTACTATGAGATGCTCGAAGCTTGTAACTCAGTGGACGCCTTCATGCCGGACTTGCTGCTGCAGGGTTTCCCCATCGTGGGCCCCATAGCTCGCGGCGTTGGCCGCCCTACGACAAAGATGTTCCAGTTGTCCCTGTTGAGGAAGCACTAGATCGGGCCTGGGCAAGGCGTTCCAAGATTGTCAACCGTGTCCGCTCAGTGCCAGCATCCGAGAATCTGACCAAGATCTGGGAGGCAACCCTGGAGGATGTGTCAGAGGGATCCACTCTTGGGCCTTTCTCGAACCCTGATCAGGTATCTCAACTGCTTCAATGCGATGATTGGATCCCAACTCAAAGATTCGAAGTTGTGCAGAAGAACAAGGTCAGAGGCTGTGGCAGCGCGACCACGAATATGATCAACCAAGTGACGGTGATCACCGAGAAGCTCCAACTGCCGTCAACAGACACCAATTCAATGTGGCAGCACTGCGCATGATGCGTTCGGCAATGCCAGGTGCCAAGTTCGCTGGTTGGGTCCTTGATGAAAGAAAGGCCTATAGACAAGTGGCGATTCGGCCTGACCACCGAAAGTTCAGTGTGATTTGCATCAAGTCGCCTGTGTCGCTCGAACCGGCTTTCATTGGATGGTAGGACACTCTTTTGGGCTCGTGTCTGCCGTCTACAACTACAATCGTAGGTCGGCGGCAATCAACGAGATTCTTCTGAAGTTGTTCAACTTAGTTTCTTTCAACTTTTACGATGACAAGTATGGGTTCGAGCCGCTCGGCTCAGTCGAATCCGCCTTCCATGTAGCCCAGAGGATCCATTGGCTCTTAGGGGCGGCGTTTGACTCAAAGAAGCTCCAACTGACTGACAAGCCTGTGATCTTGGGAGTGACTTACAACTTGTCAGATTGGGTCTTGGAGATTAAAGCCAATCGGCGTGATGAGCTCATTGAAGAGATCGACAGTGTGCTCCAGTCTGGCATCCTATAGAGCCAGGTCACGCCGGGAAGCTGAAAGGAAAGCTCATGTTTGGCGCAAGCCAGCTCTGGGGAAAGGTTGGAAGAGCTTTTCTTCGCTCGATTTCGGAGAGGCAGTACGCTCGTTTTCCTTTGACTGACCAGTTCGTGTTGGACCGACCGCCCTGGGAGTCAAACTCATCAGCCAAGGACCACCCAGGTCGATCGAACGGTGTTCTTTCAAGAAAGCGGATGTCGTCATTTTCACTGATGGTTTTTCTCCGGACCCCCGCGAAGACGATCGTCGACCTGATTGGATAGGAGGAGTGATTTTTGATCAGCGTATGATTTCGCCTTTGCAGTTTACCGCTCGAGTGGCGAAAGTTTTGCGAGATAGGTGGTTGGTCCGAAAGACTCAGATCATCCCCGTTGAGATGCTCGCACCAATAGTGGCCCTCGAGACTTTTTCGGATAGGCTCTTTCGAGCAGACATCTTCGTCTTCATAGATTCGGAAGTCGTTGAGGCCTCGCTCGTGAAAGGGCACTCAAGTCGTGAAGACTTGTGCTTGCTCGTTTCAGTCTTTTGGGACCTAGTGTTGAACTTGCAAGCTCGCGTTTTTATAGATAGAGTGGCAACGGACGCAAATCCGGCAGACCACCCTTCCCGGGATAACCTGGAGTTGGGCGCTCGCGCTGGATGGCAGACAGTGCCGGCTCAATGGCCTGTTGCATTGTCG